ATATCATCAACTTCCAAAAAATTGTCTCTCTGATTGCAAATCTGAGGCTGCCGTCGTCAAATTTCAGAGGCAATTTTTTGGATGTTAATGTGTATGTGCGTTTGTGTATCTCAAAGACACAAATACACATACATCATTAACCTCTAAAATATTGTCTTTCTGGTAAGATTATAATGAGCAACAGATCTGGAGTTCCATCTTGTAAGATTTCCTAACCCTTGTGATCTCAGAATAATCTGATTATGTCGGCGGTTTTCTATATAAACCGTCGTGGTTATTTCAATTCTTGTCGTTAGGTAGATCTACCGACGTAGGATAACAAAATCGAAGAAATAAATTTTTTTAAAAAATTCTTATTCAGACGACGGTTTAAATATAATTTATGACGTATAAAGTGGACAAATACGACGTTAAATTCTATAATACGTCGTTATATGAAAACCCCAACTTGGTAAGATTGAAAGATGTCGTCGTAGAAATACGAGAAAGACGTCGTTATATTTACCTTTGCCGTAGTTGTACATTAATTTAATACGGCGGTATTTTGTATTTTACCGCCGTGGATTTATTTGTAATTTTACGTCGCCTTATACGAAAACTTGGTCGTGTTAATTTCTGGGTAAAAACGACGGCTTTTTTTGAAACCGTCGTCTTTACTTTCTACGTCGGTCGGTTCATAACTTCCGCCGTTATTTGTTGGCTATGATTTTACCTCATGAAAATCCTATTTCAATAAGACGTCGGTTTTTAAATTAAGTACGTCGTGTTTTTGGAACAGCCATTTGAAACTCCATTTTTTAGTTGTCTAATGTGTTATTACACGGCGGTTTTATAAAACCGTCGTCTTTTAAAAAACAACGACGGTTTTCACGTAGACCGTCGTGTTTTTGTGGTCGTCTTTTTCACTTTTTGTAGTAGTGTTCCCAAACTCATAAAATCATCCATTTCTTGTGGTCAAAGTGGCATTGGCAGCAAAAAAATTCCAAAAAATTAACAATTGGTTTAAAAAGATTTCGTCAGCTGCCTAGTTTACTACACGCCCCACGCGCAACAATCTTCTTTCTTCCTTTTTTTGTCCGTTCATCTCTGTCTGCTGGAAACTACCGTTTGCTATGGTTTTCGGCCTTGCACTGCTTAGGTACTAATCGGTTGCTAGTTTTTCCTTCTCTGATCATTGAGGAAGGATCACCTGGTGTTTTTCCGAAGAACTACCGCTTGACAAAGACAGTGCGAGCCTCAGAGGATCTTGCTCCTGAGCGAGATCTGGAGTCCAATTTCAGTCCTACTTCAATGGCGCACTGTAAACAAGGTCTAACTCTTTTCCTGGTGCTGGCTTGGAGTTTGGCACATGAAGTTTTATGGATAAACTGTTGGGTAAGGGGAATTTAGGTTCAAATGTGGGTATTGATGTTAGTTGTCTTGATGATGCTTATGAGGACCTAAATGATGATGAAGATGTGGAGATTTCTCGTGGTGAGCGAGGGCCTTGTATTCAATTCTCAGATAGGGCTATGGATCATTTGTGTAAACCTTGGAAAAATGCTTTGATCATTAAATCGTTGGGTCGATCGCACACTTATAATTATCTGAAAGCTTGGTTGCAACAAAAATGGAGCCTAAATGGGGATTGGAAATTGGTTGATTTAGTTAATGACTATTTTGTGGTGAAGTTTGATATAGAGGAGGACCTGAATTTTGTCTTGACTGGTGGCCCTTGGATCATAGTTGGGCAATACTTAGTAATGCAAAAATAGTGACCTGGGTTTTTCCCTACTACTGCGCATATTACTCGTATGGCAGTTTGGTTGCGAGTTTCTGTTATACAACTTGAATCCAGTTAAAATCATCTTCACTACTGCTAGAGAATGGGTGCATGTTTTTTTTGCTTATGTTAAGGGTGCTGCTAAAGTTCAGCTCTTGGGAAACTCCTCATGTAGGCCAATTTAAATTGAATGTGGATGGCTCTAGAAGACGCACTTTTAGCTGCATTGGTGTTGGAGGTGTTATTCAGAACTCGGTGGGAAATTGGGTGAGTGGCTTCTCTGTCAATCTAGGGAAAGGCTAGATTCTTGAAGCTGAAGTCAGGAGGTTTTATTTTGGTCTGAGGTTAGCTATTGATAAGGGTATTCAAGATATTGTTGTTGATATGGATGCTGCTATAGCTGTTCTTCTTATTTAGAAAACAGATTTACTTGGCTATTACCCTCTTGCAACTCTATTACTATGTTGTTGTTATTAGATGGGCCATTTGGTAGTTGTTATCTCCAACATATATACAGGGAAAAGAAAGGAGTGGTGGATTCCCTAGCTAACTGGAGTTACAATATGGATCTTGGTGTGTGCATTTTTGCTTATGCTCCCTCTTGGCTTGGTTCGAAGATTGTTGAAGATTTGTTAGGAGTTGCTAAGGTTCGTTTGGTTTGTCTAAACCATTATGAGTAGTTTGTCTTTGGGGTTTTCCCCCCTTGTTAGTGGCATTGGCAGCGGAGCATGAATTCTTTGGACTTTGTCACTTCAAAATTATCGACTAATCACAAAATTGTTACTTTATTACCGACATAAATTTATAAAGTTTTAAATTGCTTGCTATTTCTTCTTTATTTGATTTATTAAGGCCATCTCCAGTCATAGGGCTAAATGTAATCAAAGACTATAAATTTAGCCCCTTAAAATAATAATTTTTTTAAAGAATAGTGCATGACTAAATTTTTCTATTTCCAGCCCATGCATGACTATATTTTAGGGCCATTCATATTTTATTATTTTGAGAAAAACTATGGTACAACACTTATATATTCCACAACTATGTATTGTTTAATTTAATTAAACTACGATTTAGAGACAATATTTTTAAACAAAATGAATTCAAAACATTTAAAAAGGTTTTAAATAAATAAATAAATAATAATTTTCAATCAATGGTTCTAACCTCCAACGATTAGGAACCAATTATATATATATATAAACAAAATGAATTCAAAAATGTTATTAAAAATAAATAAATAAACCTAACGACTAGCTGACGTCATTGATGATGTCAACGCGCCTTTAATATTGGCTATTGGATTTGCAGTTGCCCGAGATGTTTTGTGCTCTTATCTTATCCACGCGTAATACTTTTTCTTTCTGGAAAGCACATGAGCCAGGCCCATAAAAAAATTTGGCATAGACCAAAGCTGAGGGCTAAAGGGCCAAATGTCCCTCCAAATTTGGCCAAATTCTTTTTTAGCCCATAGCTGGAGATGAGTTTTGCATTATTTTAACGTTATATTTGGCTTCTGGCCCATGATTGGAGATGACCTTGTTTGGTATCTTACTCAAAAAAGTAAATTGTAAAACTATGATTCTTTTTAAAAACATGAGTTTTCAAATAGTGATTTTAAGATCTACAAACTTGTTTGGTATTGAACCCCAAACTATTTTTAAGATCTAAAAAAAATTGAAATTAAAATTAGAAAATCAAAAACCCTAATCCCCAAATTGAAATTAAAAAAAGAAAAGGAAAATGATGTGAGGCATAAACCCAATCAATTTTGGTGGTGTGCAAGAGAGAGAGAGAGAGATGGGTGCTGATTTTTCTTAAATGTTATTCTATTTTTCTTACTATTTATTATAATCAAAATTACAAATTTACACTTCAAATTAACGGAAGATTGGATGCTAAATTGGCTATTTTATTTAATTCAGATGTTAAATTGACTGACTTTTTTTTTTTGGTGAGATAAATTGACTGACAATTTTTTTTGTGTGAGATAAATTGACTGACTGTTTAGTTCAGCGGTTAATTTACTCTAAAATTAAATAAATGAAAGAGAAAGAAAGAGGAGAAGAGGAGATTTTTCACAGGAGCGAAGTCTGTGCACGTGCCAAGAGGCAGCTAGAGGAAGCGGCTCCGTGTTTTAGCACAAATTCATCATCTTCGTCCTTTCTTTTCTTTTCTTTCACTGGCGCCAAAATTCAAACACTCTTCGTAGTCACACAAAATGTACTTCGACGACTCACAGTCACAGCATCTCCTCCGAGACTACAATGAAAATGAAGAAGAAGAAGCTTCGAATTCGGTTGTGTCACCGAGAACGTGCTCAGAGGGCCACAGATCCACGCTCTTGCTCCGAACCAAGCAAGGCGGCTCTATCTGCTTGCTCTGCTTCTCCAACCTCGTCTCCAACCCCGAATCCCCCACCGTCCACGTGTCCTACGCCCTCTCTCAGCTCTCTCAGGCCATCTCCTCCGACCCCCCCTTCCTCCGCTCTCTTGTCGACTTCCATCCTCACTTCCTCGTCTCGCCTCTCGTTCATGCTCTCTCTTCCTTCGACGACGACCCCATCGCACGACAAGTCGTCCATCTCATTTCCGTTCTCTGCGAATCTTCCGGTGCCTCGATCTCTGCTGACTTCGTCGCTAGGGTTTCCGACCGCCTCTCTTCTGGTGCCTTGGCCTGGAGTCGCCGTCAGCTTTATACGGTATTTCCATCATCCGCATCTCTCCATTCTCTCTTTGTTTGTCTGTGAATTCTGGAATTGCTGTTGAGACTTAGATAAAATTTTCCGGTTGTGATTTGTTTTCTGTTTGCTTCCTGAGAGAATGATTTGTGTTTCTCGGTAGCGAAACTGTGTATGACTTGTTACGGTCCGACGAATGTGGAGAAATCGAGCTTGATTCTTCTACTGTTTCTCATATTAAAACTCTTGCGTGTTTGTGAATTTACATATCAATTTTCAGATTTAGATATATATTTTGGGTAATTTCTGTTTCCTTCCTGAGATTATGAAGGAAAATGATAAATTCTGTAATTTTTCGGTAATCAAACAGTATGAGATTGGTTAGGGGTTAGAAATTGGGTGGATGAATCTGGTGAAATCGAACTTGATTGTACTGTTTCTCATCGATTGGTTATTAATCGAACTTGATAATCATATGCAGGCTGGATAGCTTGGTTAGTTTTGGTTTCTCATGGTACAACAATACTATAGTTGAAGGATTGTTAACTAAAACCTGAAATCGTCTTATTTATATTCATATACAGAATAGGATGAGTTAGTGTTGGTTGAGATCCTTGAATAGTTTGTCCTGTGTCTTTAAAATTAGATTTCTCTACTCTATGAGTCAAAATGAAATTTGAGCGGGCAAGTTAGGGTGATCAGATTTCTGACTTCAAGCCCTCACATGTGACATGACTTTGAAGCTCAGTAAGGGGGTAACTCAACTTTTAGTATACCTGAACTGAAACTTTCCGATCCTTGTATTTTGGTTACTTTTTGGCCTTTTATATTAAATTTGTGCATCATGGCTTTGTTCATATGCAAGTTTAATGGATATGGTTTAGAGTCTACAAGGAAGTCTCAACGATGATAAGCATCTGTGCACCCACTGGCTTCTACTAACGAAACGTTTTTCAACAATATCTTTAAGACTTACATCTTATTGATCTCAAAACCTATATATCCCTGCTAACAATTCTGCCAATCTTTGAGTGCAGCTTCACTGCTTAGGGGTTTTGTTAAACTGCCAGAAGAATAATCCTTATGCTCACATTAGAGACAAATATGGTCTCATTACCAATCTTGTTGAAGGTCTTCAATTGCCAAGGTAACAAATAAAGAAAAACTGATAATATAATATGTTCCTTTTTCCATGCATTTACCACATTATAACTAAAATCCTCTATTTTATTCCTTTAACACAGTGAAGAGATTCGGGGAGAAATCCTGTTTGTTTTATACAAGGTATCTGTTCTCCAATACGCATCAGAGGTTGGTGATGGAACTGATTTTTTATTTGCCTTTTGCCCCAAGCTATTGCGCTTGTCTCTAGAGGCCCTCATGAAGACCCAAAGCGATGATGTCCGCTTGAATTGTGTAGGTCAGTATTCCACTTCTTGAATTGGGTCCATTTTCCCTTATTTGAAGCACAGCTCAGCAATATATGACTAGCATTTTGGTCAGCTTGTTATACCCCATGAGTTTCTATTTAAATGTTTCAAAGTAGACATAAAGCCCGCAAACGAACTCCCTGACTACACCACAATTGTTTCTTATTGATGTCAGACCATATTTTAACTTTGAAGGTGAAGGTCCTTGCAATTTCTCTCATCAATTGTTGGATCAGTTAGTTCGAATGATTGTACAACAATGCCATCAATTTGTTCATATCTCATGACAAGATACTTTGCATCTTAAGTTTATTTAGAATCAAAAGATAAAAATGTTGCAGCTCCAAGTGCTTGAGTTCTTGACTACAGAACTTACTGCCTGTAGCGGAAACAATTATAATTTTAAACCTTTCAGGTAATATATAACTCTTTGGGGAAGTGATCCTGACACAGAATGGAATTCTCCCCATTTTACATGCACATTCCCTCATTGGTATTAGTCCTGTCTTCTCTCAACTAACAATTTCCATATTACTTGTGCAGCATTCTTGACAGTGTTGGCTCTGAGAGGGCTTTTCGGGGCTGCATATGCAGTTGATTTAAACAGCATGAGTTCATCCGAAGGAGATAGCTTTGAGCAAGCAACAGAAGATGGAAAAGATGCGAATCCAATGAATATATTGTTTACGGAAGCCATCAAAGGCCCAATGCTTTCAACAGACAGCCAAGTCCAGATCAGCACACTTGATTTACTGTTTCATTACATGTCCTCCTGGGAAGGCACTTCAGGCAAAGAAACCCAATTCCTAGTGGAAGAGAACATTGCAGATTATGTATTTGAAATACTAAGATTGTCAGGTTGGTAAAGTTTCAGTGCCAAATAGAACAATAACAGCTATCTGCTTAATATTTTTTGAGTATTGCCAAAAATCAGGAAAACAGAAACTGTGCTGTTTAAGTAAGCAGTCAACAATTATCATTATTCAGAAGTACTACAAATTTTGCAAGTGTCCTAGTGTAGATTGCTTAAGCTTTTTATTTTTATTTTTTATGACTGTATTATCAAGGTCAAACCCTCAGAAAGTCCAACTTCATGAACCCAAGAATAAAAGAGCTAATAAGCTTTGTTGATGAACAGAATGCAAGGATCCAGTGGTCAAATCTTGTGTTCAGGTACTTGACATTTTATCAAAAGCTGAGCAAGCTTTCAAACAGAGGCTTGTTGTTGGGTTTGCAACTTTGGTTCCAGTACTAAATTACGTAGCTGACATTCCTTTCCATCCAGTTCAAAATCAGACATTAAAACTCATTCTGAACTGCATATCTGATTGCCCTGGAATGGTATCCTCCTCTCATATAACAGAGTTAGTACCTGTTCTAGCAAAGATGCTTAAAAAACATTCTGATGGGGAGATAGGCATGCTTGAGGAGACATTTATATTGACCTGCTCCGTTGTTGTAGCTATCGTCAGAACTCCATCTGTTCATGGGAATTTGAATCTACAAATTTCAATTAAAGAAGCAATGCAACATGCTGTATCAGCTTGTCTAAGTATCTCGGAGAAGAATCCTTGTAAACTTTTGCATTCCTTGTTCCTACTTAAGGAGGTGTATAATATTTATAGTCGTGAAGGAAATTCTACTGACTCCACTAAAGCGGAACTACGACAATTTATTGTGAATGTATGTACAAAACATTTGTTACCTTGGCTTGGAACCAACTTCAATGAAATGGATGAGGAAACCGTCCTTGGAGTATTGGAAACATTTCATTCGATACTGCTTCAGGATTCCAATAATCAGGCAGTAGAACTCGCAGAGAACCTAGTTTCGAGCAGTTGGTTCAGTTTGTCTTTTGGATGCCTGGGTTTATTTCCCACAGAAAAGATGAAATGGAGGGTGTATCTGATGCTCAGTTCACTGGTAGATGTTCTTGTGGGAAATGATTCTGGGCAACCTATTAGAGATGCTACTTTATGTCTCCCATCTGATCCCATTGATTTGCTCTTTCTACTTGGGCAAAAGAACTCCCGTAATCTGGAATTATCTTCTTGCCAATCTGCCATTTTGCTGATTTTATACACCAGTTCTTTATATGATGAAAGGTAATTGAGATTTTGATTTCTAGTTTCATTCGTTTTGCTATTTTTTTGCAGTACATTTAACAATTACGACCTACTTTTCTTCAAAACTTTAATACTTCGCTCTCCAGACTTGCAGATGATAAGTTGGTTTTAGCTTCTCTAGAGCAATATATTCTGGTCAACAGTAGTGATCTCCAAGCTGGATCCACTGATCCATCTACATTGATGAGGCTAGTTTATCTTTATGGTCTTTATAGGGGTCTCGCCAAGGTTAGCTACCAAATCCCCTACAGTCCAGAAGCTGAGAGAATCCTGTTCAAGATATTAAATGAAAACGAATGGGATTTGCCTTCTGCAAGAATTCATCCAATATCATTGAAGTGGTTGTTTCAACAAGAGAAGCTCAGCACTCCACTGTCATATCAGCTTCTGAAATTTTGTGGAAAGAATATAGGAAATGGCATCATTGTCCATGGAAAGAATAGTCATATGGTAAATATTAGTTCAATTGCAGAATTAATAGCAGAAGGAGATAATCATGGAGCAACACTTTTGGTGTCCTTATTGACACAACTTCTCGAGAAAGAAGGGCATGAGCATGACATAATTTCTGTAGTGCATCTCGTGGGAACTATTATAGATATATTTCCAATTGCTTCTGACCAGTTATGCTTGCATGGTATTGGGAGTGCTCTCCGGAATCTTTTCTGCGAATCAACTTATACACAGTCCCCACAGATATCCACACCCGTTTTAGTTTTAATTTTCAAAATTTTATGCTCAGTGCACCATGGAACTCTTTCTGATGATGAATGTTGGCTTGCAGTGACTATGAAGGTGACTTACTTAATTTTTGTGATTCCAGTTTACTTGCTGCCACAGGAATTTAATGAGACAGTTTGTCTTCTTTTGTAGTTGATAAATATTATCACCACAAGAGCTGCAGACGGGTGGAATCAAGAATGTCTCATAATAACTGGCATTCTTTGTTTAATTTTGCACCATTCTTCCAATGAAGTGCTCATAGCACCTTCGAAAGCCATTATTTTGAGCACTTCTCTAGTCTCTACAATCAACAGCACAATTCATGAAGCATGTCTAAAAGGACCAGCATTGGTTGACCACGATGAGGAAACAATCTCTGGAGAAGTTTTAATATTTGTGCTTCTACTAAACTTCTTCTCCTTAAGAAGGTTAGTTCCTCGTATTTCTTCTCTTTAAGAAGGGTAGTATTAAATTTAGCCATACAACTGAATTTTGCTTTTGAAACTAACTGTTTTTTTTCTCTTTCTTCCATTTCCTCCAGTTTGCACACTGTTTTACCAGGGATTGTGGACTGGACAAATTTCTTTGATCCCCCAGATAGGTTACAGCCGATTTCCTTTATCCGGATATTCTGCCATGACCTATGCAGACTAGTACATTTTGGATCACCTTTGGTCAAACTTGTTGCCTCATACTGCCTATTGGAGTTGTTTACCCGAATATCTGATCAGAGGAATAGAACAGGGGAGGAGTTGGTATGCACCATGGACTACCTAATGTCTGTAATGGCTGTCCTGGAAGGATTAATTTTCTACAGTGACCTCAGAGTGGCTACGAATTGTGGCCTCTGCCTATCAATGATCTTGGGTTGGGGATTGCCGGGAATGCAAGGAACAATTGTGATTACAAAGAATCATTGGAGTAGGATGATTGTGGAAGAGCTGGCAATGTCTTTAGCAGTCCCATGCTTAGCATCAAAATCTTTCATTAATCTTCACAAGCCTGCAATTCATGTGGCAGTCACACTGTTAAAGCTGCCGAAGGTTCCTGAGTGGATGAGATCGGTGTTTGATGTTTCTTGCATATCTGGCATCATTCAAAACTTTGCAGCAAATAATTTGAGCACAGAGATTGTACTTTTATTTCGAGCTCTATTGGACTCCGAGTACTTAAAGGCGGAACAAATTTGTAGTGTAAATCAGCTGCTCCAGGTGATCATTCCTATGTCATGCACTTTTCTGTTCTGTTGGTTTTGTTCGTGTTCTTTAACGGACTAAAATGATGCTTCCTTTTTTAATACTTCAAACATGAAAATGAGTCATTATACTTCTGTCAAGTTTGTTTTAGAATGAACACTGGCTGATGGATTTTCCTAAAATTTTAGCCTTGGTCATTTGAAGCAGCATATTAAAAAGAGAGATAATGCAGTTATTTTACACATTGCAGGCCTGCAGAAAACAGAAGTACACTGACAACAGTCAAGATGAAAGTGCAAAAGAGCATAAAAAAAAGGCAGTCGCCATCCTGGACGACATGGGAGAAGGTTGTGAGTATCTCATTCACTTGATGTCATCCGAGTCTTGTCTAGACAGGGATTCTGGGGGATTAAATTTCGGGGATAAGAGATTGTTAGAAGAAATAGAGCTTTTCTTTAAAACTTCAACAGTAACAGAGGGCAGCTAAGAAAATCATATATATGAGTTTAATTTTCTTTGTTGAATTCTTCCTTCCTCATTTCATTAAAGGCTGTGCACAGAGTGAGACACCAGTAGTTATGTACAGGTGCTTCCCATTTTGATCATTAACTGTTTTGCTTCAAGTTACTTTCATTGATCACAACAAAAATATTCAAATTCCAAATAATAATAAAAACATAAATTATTAAAACCATGTTTACGTTCTGTAGAGAAAAAAAAAAGGAAAAAAAAGTATTGAGTCATACATGAGTCAATTTAGTTTTTTGAACAGTAGCTAGCTAAGTGTGGCTAGATAGGAGAGAGAAATGAGGCTAGTCAAATCCTTCCATTGTACAACTTTTGAAGTATATGTGGGTTTTAATTTAGAAAAAATAAATTGAATATTCAAGTTTATCAAAAATCCAAACTTTGACTAATCGATTAGCTATAAAAGTGGCTAGATAAATTGAAAAAATAAAAGTGGGTTTTAAATCATAAATAAATAAATAAATAAACCTTATGTGTCATTTGAAGTCAAAGTTGAAAGTTTGGCTGACATTCCTGGAGATGCTCTTACCACATGAATCATAATCAGTATTGAGCAATTTGAGTGCCCTTTCAAATGAAAATGGCGCAATTTGACCTCTTAACATCAATTGTGCACAAGTGATTTGTCAAAAGAGGCTTCTCCTCTTGGTAGATAACTAGATTCGTGACAATTTTTTATTTTCTTTTGTGTCATTAGAGAGGAGGAAATGAACTAGCTCCTAGTCTAGTAGTAATTCGCTTGTCAATCACAAAAATTAACTTCCTTGGCCAAGTTTGACTCCCCATTCTAGTTTTCGTAAGTGTTTTTTAGTGAATTGTGGAGTTTTATTGAAAGAGAAACATTATAATGAGTGTGTTAAGCAGGCCTATTTTTTGTTGTTGCCTTGATCCTAAGAATTTTAAGACCGGTTTTGCTTATCATTGTTGGAAGAGATCTTACGTTTGAATTATCTCACCTAGGGGTGCAAGTTGGATTGAAAAATCCAATTCCATTCCAAAAATTTCTGATTTTGGAAAGTCTAAATCAATTCCGACATCTGAAAATTCTGATAAAAATTGGATTGGAATTTGAATGTATTTAGAGATTCCGAAAATTTTCAAATTCTGAAATAATTGGGGTTTCAAGCTTAGACTACACACAATTACTAATTTTATGTAGAACTAAATATAATTTGATGACCAAATAGAGATAGACAAGTTATTTCTTAAAGGATAATAATATCTAAGTGCTAGCATATCATAGTTTGGTCTCTAATCCTAGACAGACTATTTGTGTGTCAGCGTTTAAGTCGGCTCTTGTTGGTAATACGGGGAATGCTAAGACCCAACTTCTTTAAGCTTAATGTGGATGGCTCTAGGAAGACAACTTCAGGTTTTATTGGAGCAGGGGGAGTTTGTAGAGATTTTCATGGAGACTGGACCTCCGGGTTTGCTGTTAATCGTGGAAAAGGCCAAATTCTTGAGGAAGAAGTTAGGGGGCTCTTCTTTGGTCTGCAACTGGCCTTGGAAAAAGGTAATAGGGATTTAATCATTGAAATGGACTCCGCTGTCGCTGTGAACCTTTGCCTGCAGCCTTCTCTACTTGGTTTGCACCCTTTGGCAGCCTTGGTTCATAGCTGCTGTGAACTGATGAGAAAAATTGGTCATTGCACCCTCACCCATGTGTGTAGAGAGAAGAATGGAGTTGCTGACTGCTTTGCCAGATGGAGCTATAACTTGGATAAAATCTACACAACATAATTTAATTTGCCATTGTAATTGGCAATCTACCACTGGTTATATAACACCGGCGACGGCTATTTGATGTTCCATCATAGTGATAATACTGAAGAAATTAAATATAGCAAACACATTTAAATGTTGAAATAATACATATCCACTGAATCAAGCACAATCTAACAATGCAGTGCGTACAAAAGCAAAAGAGATTCTCTACTCTAGTAGGAAATGGCATTGGGGTGGCCAAGTAAGACAAGGCTCTCTACAAAAAAATCCATTATGTCCCCTCGAAGAGTTTTCTGGCTCTCCCCATTGCCAAGGTTCTTCAGTGGAGGTGGAGGTAGAGTTTTACGGATATCAAGCATAAACACATGTTCGTGATTGATGTTAAAACCAGGAGAGAGTAAAAAATACTCTGCCATTGAATAAGTATACAATTTGGTCCAGGATTCCACTACACCATACTCTTCCATGACCCACAAGTGAAGTTGAGTGTCAGAACTTTGGGTGAACATATTGCTACACTCGAGCAAGGCAACAGACCCCTTATGTTTTGAAATCCAGATGTTGCTGTCCACGTATCGATGTTCTATTTTTCTCAAACCTTGAGGCATCATTATCTCGCCGAACAATTCAGTGCTTATATCAAAGGACACAATGACAAGGTCCTTCCCTCTTTGTACACGAGGTCGAACCCAATGCAGCGCATCATTGACAACAGCCCAGTAAGAGAAAGGCCATGTAGCAGTGCCAAACCCAAAATATGTAGGAGCTGACGCGGTGAGGGTTTTCCAGGAGCCCCTGGCTAAGGAGTAAATCTCAACCGCAACTTGGGTAGAAAGATCACTCACACATCTCAAAACCTTATAGTCGTTGGTGTGAGAATCATAGCCAAAGTAGTGACGAACAATGTTATAATTGTTTAGATATGCAATAAAATTAGGCCTAGGCAACACCACATACCTTCTAATTGAAGGGTTCCAAATAAAGATGTCAGTCGCAGCCATGTCATCGTTCTTAGCAGAAGTAAGGCATATAACCCCGTTACAAGTTTGGACCATGTCGAAACCAGTGTCTTCGTTCAAAATTGGCGGATTCATAAGCTCGGTAATGTAGTCAGCAGCACCACCAGGTAACTCAGGGTTATGGAAAAGGATATCCCCATAACACGACAACAAGTTAAACTTGGTGTGATTTTCCAGCAGAAGAACTTGACAACCATTGACGATTTGGTGGTTGGATTGGAATGATAATTTGCGGCTGAGATGGGCGTCAATGAAGTTACATCTTTTGATCAGGCAACTCCATGACTTACACACCGCAGTGCACATGATTAAAGATTTGGCCGGCAACCTCAGGAGGATTTCACGTACAATTTCTTCAGGAATGTAGGTGAGTTTCGACGAAGATGTGGAGTCCATCTCTCCGTAAGCAGTTTCCCGGGATCAATGAGAAGAAGAGACTGGTGGTGTTTCAATTTTCTAAAATCTAGTTCTTATACGATATAGGCCGATGTACGGAAATACTGGCGCAAGAGAGTTGGTAAAACTCTCATAGCCTTTTAATTTTAATTGATATCACGTTATGGAATCACAATTCTACTAGAAGTATATTGAAAATTATAATAATGGTTCGTTTGGTCTCTAGGATTATTGGATATCTTACTAAATTTAAAGTTTTTTTTTTAATGGAAAATTTGAGGTATTTTTTAAGGAATGTAGATGTGAATGATTTTTCACTTTGGGATTAAGAGGGTAAGTTAATGATCCTTCATTACTGGGCCGTTTCGATCGTGAAATTTGGGAGGAGGGATTTGGATTTGAGAGGTCCAAATTCAAATCATACAGTCTACGCTAATTTTTAGTAATTAAATTTGGCTTCACTATTTGATAGGCCGAAATGTAAAGGATTTCCAATTGTTGTAAACCAAGATATTTGAGTGAATTTCACATTTGGGATGTACCTATCTCCTCTTTTCTCTATTTTAAGTTGGTATAGATGTAGATCTATTTGTTATGATTTATGTGTAGATGGATTGAGTCTTGTTGTTTGAATTTTCATTTCTGGATGCAATTTCTTTTCTGATCTGTTTGGTTGCTGAGAAAAAGTGGGAATGTGGAAGGAAAATTTTATAATTATAAATTTTGTAGTTTTTGATTTAGTTTGTATGTTCAATGATTGGAAATTGCAGGAAACAATTCTTTATACTATTGGAAGAAGAATCCACTGGTAGGCTTATGAGATATGATCCTCCCACACCAAAACAACTCATATTGTGTTGGAAGGTTTACAACTTTTAAATATTTATTCAAAAACCTATTTTAGCATGACGTATTATACAAAAAATTCATATAGAGTCTATTTGTAGAGAAAAACTCAAAACTAGTCACTTGTCTTTTATTTATTTATTTATTTATTTTTATAAATTTTAAAATTGGTTCTTAGAGTGTTAAAATTTTATAAGAACCAATTAGAAAATAACACATAATTAGTTTTGAATTTTTCACTCCAAACAGGTTCTATAAGGATTTTTGTATATTATATCATGCTAAAATAGGTTTATTAGTGAAATCCTCTATAACTTTCTCAAGACCAAACCTTCCTTCTCTTTACTGAAACCACCAACTGCAGGTAATTAATGAATCTTAGTTGATAGAGCTCTGTTAATTTCAAGTTAGGGTTTTTTGTTTCTTTCTCTTTTTAGTACAAGTTAGACTTTTATATAGGCATCATAATTCCAAATTCTACCAAAATAAAAATGTAAAATAAAAACCAGGCCTTAACCTATGGTTGTCATAAATTCATATATATGGTTGGGTCGCTCTCTCGTTTCTACAAGGAGAGAAAAGTCTTGATGGCTATTCTTCCTTGTTTCCCATGGGAAGAGTCTTAGTCCTCTACGTGTTCCTAAAATAGTCTCTCCTAGTGCTCTCCAGATTGGTATCGAGTATCTGGATTACGTATTTTCCTCCTCGGTTTTGTATCGTGTCTAGCACGTTTTGTTTTGAGACTTTGGTTCTTAGGTTTTGGTAGTGCCTCTCTCCATAGTACAAGTTTTTTGTTCTCCGTCGTTTTCTAGATCGAACGCTGACAATTTTCTAATTTTCAGTCCTGCTTATATGGGGGCGAGGGGAACCCCACTTTCTACTGGGGAGTCGA